TCTCTGTGAGTTCGAGGCCAGCCTGGTCTACAGAGCGTGTGCCAGGATAGGTGCCAATGTCTTGAAAAAAAAAAAAAGTTCAGCCTAGGTTACATAGGCAGGTCTAGGCTAGTCTTGGGTACCTGAGGTCCTGTCTCAAAAGCACAAAAAGCAAAATAAAATCTATATGATAGCACAATTTACAGTTGCTAGAGAGTGGGAGATGCCTTCTGCTGTGCATGTGCCTTGTGGGCATAGAAGGAAAAGAAGGTCTGGTTTATCTGCTCAGCCCAGAGCTCAGGAGATACAAGAAAGGCAGTAACCATTGAGAAAACATAACCTGCGCTTCAAGTCACAGCCTTGCACCACCCTGGCTGTGTGACTGTACACAAGTCACTCTGAGCCTTAGTTTCATCATCTGAAAAATAAAATAAGCTTGTAACCTCTCTCTAAGCCCACCAGAAACTCTCTAGGAGAAATTGCAGAGGACTGCAGCATAAAAGACTGCAGTCAGATTAGAACTAGACTTCCAGGCAAGGGTCAACAACAAGTCCACTCCTTCCTAGGATCTTTGCCTGTATTGGAGGGAAGGCAGGCATGACAGCCCCATAGATGTTCCACAGGCTGGAGAAGGGACCACTGTGGCCTAGTAGTCCTGAGGGCTTTCTTTGATCCTCATTTTCCAAGGCTTTGTAGAACCCAGAGTGACCCTGAAGGGAAATCTCTGGACCTGTCCAGGAGCAGAGGTCACATCCTGACCAACAAGCCCTGGTCAGCTGTAGGCCCAGACCCTATTATTTAAGGTTTTCATAAAAGGGCAACCCCCAAGGCTGGAAGAATGGCCGGGACTGACTTTTCCGGGCAGGAAGTAAGAGCAGCTGGGCCTAAGGCCTGATCTGACCTGTGTAGCACTCTGGTCTGAGCTGAAGACTCCCAGCCTTAGCCAAGTGCCTCAGAGGCTGAGATGAAAGCCCCTGGAAGGCCTTGGTGGGGGGAGGGCCTCTTTTCTGCCTTAGCCAGGCCCACTGGCCTCTCCAAGCTGCTTGTGGACTCTGCTGATTTTATTGTAATTTCCAGCTTGTCACGGTTAATAGCATTTGTTTGTTAATTACTGTGTATTTTTAAAGTAAAAGCAAAGGGAATTCCCACAGGAGACTCTCACTTGGCTAAAGCAATGGGAGGTGACAAAGGGAGAAGGTCTGGGGGTGGTGAGGCTGCCAGGCTGGATTCTTCTGGGCCAACAATATCTGAGGATGTAGACTGCCAAGGTGGGAGGCATCATGTCCCTTCTTACCTTCCTTTGGGGACAGCTCCTCAGTACCATAATTCTCTCAGAGGCCATACATACTCACCATCTCCATACTCTTATTAGGGGTAGCAGAAGAAGAAAGATTATCTATACCAGGACCTGAGACCTCAAGAACAGCTCCCAGGGGTCTGTCCTGTGATGGGGGCAACATTATTTTTTGTTTTGTTTTATTGGTTTTACGAGACAGGGTTTCTCTGTGGCTTTGGAGGCTGTCCTGGAACTTGCTGGTCTCAAACTCACAAAGATCCACCTGCCTCTGCCTCTGCCTCTGCTTCCCCAGTGCTGGGATTAAAGGCATGTGCCACCACCGCCCGGCAAGAGTTGAAGTCTTCTGGTTAGGAAACAACTAGAGTTCATGGCTCATATGTTAACAAATAGCCATAAAGCTCAGTGATAGCAGGGCTGGAGAGATGGCTTAGAGGTTAAGAGCACTGGCTGTTCTTTCAGAGGTCCTGAGTTCCATTCACAGCAACCACATGGTGGCTCATGACCATCTGTAATGAAATCTGGTGCCCTCTTCTGATCTGCAGGAATATATGCAAGCAGAACACTGTATACTAAATAAATACTTTAAGGGGGGGCTGGAGAGATGGCTCAATGGTTAAAAACATTAGCTTGTCTTCCAGAGGTCCTAAGTTCAATGCCCATCAACCACTTGATGGCTCACAACCATCTGTAATGAGATCTGGTACCCTCTTCTAGCCTGTAGAGGTATATGCAGACAAAACACTATATACATAATAAATAAATAAACCTTTAAAGAAAAGAAAGCTCAGTGATAGCACACTTGCCTAGCAAACATGAAGCACTGGGTTCAATCCCCAGTAATGCATTTTTAAAAATAATGATTAGGAACTGGGGAGATGCTTAGCCGAAAAATAATTGCCTAGAAATCACGCAGACCCAAGATCCATCCCCAACACACATGTGAAAAGCCTAGCATAGGGATGTTCACTTGTAATCCTGGCATTGGGATGACAAAGACAGTGCAGGTGGATCCCTGGGGCTCTGTGATCATTCAGCGTAGCCTACTTGGTGAGTTCTAGGCCAATGAGAAATCCCAACTCAAAATAAGGGTGTGTGGGGGAGAGTTGGATAGTACCTAAGGAACTACACTTATGGCCCCAACCTGTGTCTTTACAAACATCTGTGTGTGTGTGTGTGTGTGTGTGTGTGTGTGTGTGTGTAGAGAGAAAGAGAGAGAGAGAGAGAGAGAGAGAGAGAGAGAGAGAGAGAGAGAGAGAGAGAGAGAATACAACCCCAGGAAAAAGGAAATGGGTATGTGGTCCAGGTCCTGTCAGAGACTGAAGCAGCAACTGTGGTTGGCCACTAAGGTTGCAGGGCAACTCACCAGGCTACAGGCCATGCCATGCAGAGGAGGGGGGTCAGGGTTTTAAAGGGGCTCTGAATGCTGACCTGACATACTCTTATACAGAGTCACCTTGAGCCACAGACTCGAGATGCATTGGCATGAGGTAGGGGCAGAGAGAGAGGAGAGCCAGGATGGAAGGGAGCTGGGGAGAGAGACTCCCCAGACAGAGAAGGATGGAGCCCGGGAAGGAAGTTCATACAATTTAGAGGCACTGATTAAAATCCTAGAAGAAAATGTGACTGAGGGACTTTCTATCTTTCTATTGAGACATTTAACCTAAAAGAAATGAGTTAAATAATTTATACGAAGAACAAGTGAAATTTGCTTTGATCAAATTAAAAAATATGACTGTGGAAATAAAGTGTCCGCCGCATCCTTTCCAGGCGGCAAAAAGGGCTGCCGAGAAACAAAATGACAGAGACATAAAAATAACTAACCCTAACCCGGCGAATATTAGCACCATAATTTTTGGGAGATTACACGGCGTCACTGTAGGCCACGCAGAGAAATCCTCACTAAGCACCAACAGGAGAGGTCTCTCTCATTGTAGAAACCCCATAAAACCCAGAAAATGGATAAAATTTTCCTTTGTAAAAGCCATCTGACTTCACTCAGGGGTTGGCCCAAAAGCCACAAGGGATCAAATCAGATTTCCCACTTGTGCATTTCCAAAAAGGAAGAAAGCTGCTTAGCTTCCCACCCCAACTCTATGTTTCTAGAAGATGCCTCCCTTTCTCCCATTTATCCTGAATGCCTGCGCGCGCACACACACACACACACACACACACACACACACACACCACACACACCCAACTCACATGGGCTCACACACTCTGCTATAATTTTTTCTTTCTTTTGTCTTTTTTTGGGGGGGTGGGGTTAGCATTTGAAACAGGAAATCACTTTGTAGTCATATCGGACCTGGA